TTTTAGCAAGGAATAAGCATTGCTATTAATATTTATTATTTATGCAGTAAACATATAATATCCTTTATCCTAAATATAATATAAATTATATAAATTAGACATTTTTAATGGCTAAAAAAAAATGTTTCACAAAAAATCGCAAACATAAGTTGGATTTAAAAAACAGACTTTATTCTCTGTGCAACAAACCTAAACATAGACCGCCCATCCATCATTATTTTCTTCAGCTCATATCCTAACAATTTTCACGTTTCGCTTGGCGAAGAATTTTACGCGATTTGCGTCTGTAGAAAAGAAATGGTAAACTTTTGCCCATCCCCATCACAAAGGAAATTTCCTCTATTTTTGTTATTTTTCTTTTCTTTCGGGCTCACGTCCAAAACATGTGACTTGAAAGCCCCCAGTGGGTGACATCATGGGCAGTGGGCGGCGATGGGGTGGTGGCGGGTAAGGACCAGTGGGTGGCAGCACAGAGTGATGTTTAGCGGGCAGACAGTTGGGCACACACGAACTTGACAAATGAATTATGAAATGAAGAAAGGGAAAGAGTTTATAAATAGCGTCCGAGGAGCCCCCTGTTCTCTTTGAATCTGTTTTATTGGCCGCTAAATTGGCTTTTTCCTTGCTTTTTGAAAATGTCAAATGCGTTTGTTGGCCTCAGGTGAGCCGTGACGACAGAAACGCGAAAGTAAAAGTTGTAAAGTCTCTGCAAAGGATATATTTTGGGAGGTGGGTTCATTGTTTTCTGCATCTTTAGTTCTGTATCAGTAGCTACTAGCCATGTAAGTCCCTTGAAAAAACGTATTGCGGTCAACAAATATTGACACTTTTTATATCGAACCATTTGTCAGACATATTTTTCAATAAATTATCCATATGAGATATACTCCACATGACGGTAGTGTTTTTGATTATCATCAAATTATAGAGTGATTTGCAAAATCGAGGAACATATCAAATAAAAATTCATCCTTCAGCCACAATCCATCTCTTTCTGCCTCCGTCGACCTGTGTTTCCCTATCTTTTAGAATGAGAGGCGCATCCGAATGGCGTTATTTGTACATTTGCTTGTGCATTTGCGACACTGGGCCCGGCTGTTATTTATGCATGTGCTCTTTGTTTTGCTCGACTGTCATTATTTTATTGTTGAACTTGTGCGGGCGATAAGGCTCCGCCAGTCACTATCTGTCGGGATAGAAGAAGAGGGGCGAGTCGCAAGCATAAATCACTTTTCCACAATTATTCCGTTTGGCGACACGCTGATAAGTGGAGTATGCATGACATTAAATTCAGCCCATAACACAAATTTTTACATAATGTTTGACGGGGGTTCCTTCGCCGGCTTCGGGTTTTGTTGAATGCAAAAAAAGGTTGTCAACCGGCAAAATGCTAACGGTACACATCGTCTAGAAACATAGAAATCGAGAGAGAGAGAGAGAGAACCGTCATTGCTTTGGGGGTGTCTGCACCCTCTTTTCCCTAAGAACATGTGAGCAAAAATTTACAACGCCTGCAGCGCGCTATTATCTCGAATTTATAAGCATTCGACTTAATTTATATTTGTATTTGCCTTTGTTTTCATGTCCCCTCTCACTTTCGATCGAATTTAGTTGCTAAAATTAATCCAAGCACTAAAAGACACTCACACCCACACACGCACGGACGTCACCAGCTGGCAGCAGCGCCAACGGAAAACAACAACATCGCGACTGCGAAACCGAACTCACCTAATAGGAAAATATTATATTTGATTTATGCAAACGAGCAGCAAATTCGTTGCGCCCTAATATTCTCGTTCTTCAATAGCACATCCAGATTTTGTCCAACAGTTAAAATGCACAATACTTTGCACTTTTGCTTTCCCCGGAAGCACTGTTAATTTTCTATTGCATTTTCCCGCGGCGAATACACTAACATCCTTTTTTTTTATTTTTTGTTTTTTCCGCAAGAATAGCGAAAGTAACACACTTAATATTATTTAACACCGTCACGTTTATGAGTCACTGACTTTTTTTTATAATACGCACACCGAAAACTTAATTTGTCCATTTTAAAAATATTCCGAAAATTTCAGACCGCATCTGCAACGGCAGAACTGTAAGGGTTGTCACGTTATAACATGCTTTTGTGTAAGAAATATCGATATGTTTTGGCTATAGTGCTGTGTAACAGTAAAATCGTTTAAAAGTTAGCTTTAATTTTAACAATAATAGGTAAAGAAAAATAATGGTTAATAGAAAACTTTTAAATTTCTGCAAATAGATTTTTAATCAAATTAAAAAACTCTTGAAAAGAAAAAAGCCAGAGGACGCGCGTGTCACGCATGCGATTTATCTGATATCCATTTCTGTGAGGAAAATATTTCTTAAAAATAGGAACTTAAAAATATTTCTACGCGGCACACGGTATTTTTATTGCATGTGCATTACAATAATATTTTTAGTGATTTTAAAAACTAATAAATTAAATGTTCATAAATTAACTAGAAAAACGAACTAAACCTTTAGGTAATAATTCATTATAATAAATAAAAAACGATTGCTTTAAATTTTTAAAACAGCTAAAGACACGGAACGGTCCTAAATATAATTATGTATATAAAAATTTAATTTTAAAAAATGTATAGCTCCACTTATTCGACTTATAACTTACGCAAGCCGATTAAAAAAAAAAATAATAAGAAAGTTAAAGCCAATTTTTACAGAATTACTGAACAGGACATTCTATTCGAGATGATTGACCAATGACTCGTTGTTTCACTTTTAATCAAATATCTCCCCAACCAATGGAAATTTTTTTTTATTTAAAATGATTAAATGACTATTTCATTATTTATTCAGATCGGACGCACAAGAAAGTTTTTACTTCTTCGGCTATATATAAATTGTAGTCTCCTCGGGCACTTTTTAAGTTACAGTACGTGGACTGCCGTCTCCAGTGATATTTACAGTATTAATATAAGCATTGTTAAGATAATTTATAGCCTAAAGATAAGTACATACGTTAAACTTTAAAAATTCATTCATATCCCAATAAATTGAATAAACAAATTTGTCTGCGAACAGATTATAAATTCTGCCAATTTGTTTTGTCATGGTATTTTTTTTATATAGAAACTAGCAGTACCCTGCCACGTTTCGCTGTGGCATATTGTTGTTGCACGCATAAAAAATAAGTCAAACAAAAAAGAATAATTTTCAAATTAATTAAATTCTGTAATACTTGTGGGTATACAATATTCTTTGTTTCTCCTCCTTAATCATTCATTATTATTTCTGTATTTTAGTATATAGGTTGCTCTTCACTCAAGCACCTTGTGATACACGACATTTTTTTTTTTTATTATCAGGCGCAAAAACAAACAACGCAGATGGTTTTCCGACCCGTGAACATGCCACGTATAATTGACCATGGGAAAAACATGAATGTTCTAGATTTAAACCACAAACTTTTAAGGATTGGGCTTGTGATTTGTTGATTGTCATGGCAAATGCAAGACGTATCGGAAATTGAAGTCTTTTAAATTCAAACGGCATATCGGTTGGGATCATCGGGATCCTCGGAATTAGAACTTCCTCACCTTTGAATTTTCCTATCATTATCGTAGCGTAAATTACATTGTTCATCAATTTACTAACCACCAAACGCGTACCGTTGCACAGTTTTGGTTGGTTTATGTTTCGAAGCATGATTACTACGGAGCCAACCTTTAGGCGTAAATTGTGCGGTGGTAAGCCAGGCACGTCCAAAGAGTTTAAAAATTCAATTGGATAGTTGGTGGCTTCATCTTCATTTGTGACGCAGTCAATAGATTTGAATGAATGCATTGTTCCAATGATCTTATTTTGAATTATGTAGTTCAGGTCATCTACATCTTTATTCTTAGCCGCTAAAATTGCTCGCTCACTCAACCATTCATTATTTTTGTAGTTAGAAATAATATTTGGAAATACATTGTTGATAAGTTCGTCTTTTGATGAGACAAAATTACAAAAATTATTTGGAAATGATATTAATCCGCTCGATTCATCGACAGGTACTTGACCATTACCGATAGTCAGAAATTGCTCCGAGAAATCTTCAGCAGATGTATCATTAAGCAATGTAACTCTCATGTTTGTTATCAGCTGCAGTTTCTTCACATAGCGCCATAGATTTGACGATTTGAGGCAAGCGTTTATTTCGTCGGCAGCCGCAGATCTTGGAATTACTGGCAACTTCACTTTATCATTAACGCAGCATAATCCAGGCGTTTCTCCGGAAAACTTTAATGCACCACAATACTCGCAAACAACGTCCATTTGCCCAATGCAAACGCTAGGATGCAAGCTGTAATCATTGCTGCAATCGTATCGAAACGCAGCTCGATTCAAATCAGCTAAAATTTTTCGTCGCAAATTAAAATCTATTTGAGAAGCACGAAGTCGAGCCTTACTATTGCGGCTCTGTTCACGTGCAATTTCTCGTTCTTCTTCAGTCCTTTCATATGCAGTATTTTGTATTCTTCTTGCATTACGGCTTTGTCGGGAAAGATTCGATCGTCTTGGTCGCGGCATTATTAATTAAACTTCACTTCACTTCAATCCACTTGTTAATTATTTATTTAATAGAAATAGTTTTAATATTGATTTCTTACAAATATCAATAGAGAGTGCAGAGGCTCTAGTGGTGCTTCAAGTTGAGGCAATTTCACTTTCCCGGAAGCGCAACACAATCTTTTTGGTTCGTTGTTAAATTTGAGAGCCTGACTATGAATTTGACTTCGTTTGTAACTGACATTTTGACATTTGACATTTTCTTCTTAGCTGTCTGCCTAAATAAAAAAGTATGGGCCAGGGAGGAACGCTGTCGAACGGGACAAAAAGTATCCTATGTCCTTCTCCTGGCTCTAAGCTACCTCCCTACCAATTTTCACTCAAATCTGTTCTTCCGTTCTTGATTTATAAGTGTTGTAACATAAAACACGTTGTTCTTTTATATATATAGACTTATCAAAAAATATTGTTGAAATAAATATTTTTACTGACAACAACAGTTGTTTTGCTATTTTACACTCAATAATTTATGAACTTAAATCAACGGTTGCTGCTTTAAGGTCAAGAATGCTGAGTTGGCTAAAGCTAAACCTTTTGTACGATTGCAATTCCAGGAAGGTGAAAGACGTGGCCCAGTAGCCGGGTGTGCCACACAAATACATATAAAGTTTATATGTTCATTTAAATTCGGCTGTATACTTTTTCTTTTCTTCTATTAGCTTGCCTTCAACTGGTAACTTTTTGGCCGCAGACGATGGTGCTGGCTTCTTACCATATATCATGTCAATAAAGAGGGCAGAAAACACGAGAACTGCTCCAAACCATTGGCGGCCGATGAGAACGTTACCAAAGAGCAACACGGAGCAAAGGACAGTGAAAAATTTGCGAGTAGTGGTAACCACGGAACAGGCTAAGGGCCCAAAGTTCGCCACCATTAAGAAAATGAAGAACTGGCCGAGTACGCCACACACCGCAATCAGCGAAAGATGTGTCCACGCTTCGGGATGTCGCAGTGTGAAGTACAAAAACTCCTTGGCCTCACCTTTAAATAAAAGAAAGCCCATATAAATGGCTGCATACATAGAGATTTTGTTCTAACAACGAACCTGTAAAAAGCATAGCAAAACCTAGCATCAAGGTGCTCCAGAAGTTCATGGCCCTCATCATTTGCTGACCCGAGGGTAAACTAGCTGCTCGGATACGTTCCTGCACTGCACCCGTCAAGCCGTCCATGGATAGGCTTAGGAAGAGTAAAACCTCGCCCAGTAGGGTAGTCTCCGCCGGAAGATTTGACACTTTACCCTCCTTGTACATAAAGAGGATTACGCCCACGACGATAGTTAACACACAGGCATAACGGATGAAACTGTATGATTTTCTGCCAATCAGCACACCTAGAATCATCACAGGAATGGGCTTCGCGGATTTTCCAACCACAGCTGTCGGGTACGGAACCCACCGCATGGCCATGTTAGTGGAGACCATGGCCAAAAGGTATGTTAACGAACAGGCCACGTAGGAACCGGAATGGGTGGTGTCTTCCTTTTGGGGTCTCACAGTCAAAAGTACTAAAATAATAAGGTTAAAAAAGAAGACCGGGAAAAAAATATTTTCTTACATTTGGCGAACACATAGTTGCAGAGGCATTGCACCCAAACCAGCGCCAACGCGTAGGTGAAACGTTCGCCCACGGATCCATCCGCTTGCACTTGGTCCCCATAGCGGCCTCTCGTTAGCTTCTCCTGCACAATTCCATAAAGAAAGTAACAGACGAAGATGCCCACGGCGTATATCACGAAACGGCTGCGTTCTGGCAAATGCATGGCGGGTGGCTTTATTAATAGGTCAACGCTGTCGATTGGTCCTTGAATCGTGCTGCACTGCATCAAACAGTTGAACCCGGCGGCTGCTGGTGCAGTGATTTTGTTGATTACAGAGATCTAATACGTGGTACATGGCGGTGATATTGTTACCAGACCTTACAATGGAAGTAGCCTCGATGCCAGACTGTCAAGTGGCAACTCTTTAGTTTTAAACAAGAAACCCACACCTAACAAAGTTTAAAGGTATGGATTCTCAGAAAAAAATTTTTTTTTAGGATTTAAAAAAAAATCCTAAAGGATTTTAGATTATATGATTATCAAAATGAAAAATAACTACATATATCCAAAACTTCCTTAATGTCTCACAAATATTATGTACATACTCCATAAAATTACGTAGTCGAAGGCCTCGTAGCTAGCACTACAACCAAATGTTAGTATTAGTTTTGTAAGCTTTACTATCATCTTTAAATAAAATAAAATAAATAAATAAATTCAGCAAGGAAACAGAAAGAAAAGTCTATAACACCTCAAATAGATTTCCGATTTGACTGAATTTTTAGCTGTAGAATAGCCATTAGAATAATTTGGCTTTAAAACATTTCCCAAAAACATTAAAAAACTGGCGTTACAACGCGATTTCCCTTTTTGGGGAGGCGTGCCACAATTTTGACACAAACTTATAGACTTAAGAAATCTAAGCCTTCAAAATTTTAACACGCGTGTATGGGAATCGGTATTACTTACATATATGGGTATATCTTCTCTAAAAATCGTGATTTGGCTTAAATTTGTTTCCTATAGCTCTATTTCTTATAGTCTCCGAAATCCACCATTCATACGGACAGACCGACATGGTTATATCGAGTCGCCTGTTGATGCTAATCAAGAATTTATACACTTTATGGGGTCGAAGAATATTCCTTCTCTATATTACATACATTCACACGAATACAATATACCCTTGTACTCTGGAGTACCGGGTTTAAAAATATTCGGAGAGGGTTATTTTAGTGGAAAACTAAAATAAAGCATTGGGTCAGATGTCAAATTCGTCCCTAACGAATAATTGACGTAAAAATGAAGAAGAAATATGAGTTATTACAATATTAATATTATGTAAATAATATATAATATAAATAATGAAGAAGAGATGTACAAAAGCAATTATTCTCCAACATTCGATTTTAGATAATTTTGTACAAACAGCAATTAGATTTCAGTTTTGTGAATCTACATACTTTGGTTTGAATTTTGGAGTTGTGTTTTTGTTGGATTAAATACTAAATTTAAGTTTATTTTATAAAAATACTAAATATAATAATTTAAAAATGTCTTTAAGACTTAAAGTTTGAGATGAGTTTAAACTTTAAAGTATGAGACAGTTTAAAAACTATTCCCATTCCCTATTGGGTTGTTTAATCAGATTAACGCCAACTTTGAGGCAAGTTTTTTTTTCGTTTCAAATGTTAAACATTCATGCTTTGGGAAGAACAATGGCACTGGGAAACTAACTTATTTCAGAGTAAAATAAAGTTGAAAGTTGAAGTTTATTTATTGAAAATTGATGAGTTCTGATTATATTGAAGTGGATTGAGTTCTGTAACTTGGCGCGATAATACAGATTATAGCCTCCCAGTCCAAAGTATAAGTCCATCATTCACTATGGACTTAATATTGTTTAGAGGGATATACAAATTAAACAATTTTGTTTTTTTATAGAAATTTTATTTCGTTTATTTGGTTTTAAAATATACTTTTAAAATACAATAAACTATATTCACACATACCTATCAGGGTATGTAACCCCTTTTTTTATACTGGTAATGCACTTGAAGTATTTTAAGTTAGTGAATGTACTCGTTCCCGTAGAAAATACGCCCCCATACATTACACTATTCATTCAATTCGGCTTAAGGGCCTAGACAACAACAAACAAGCGATTATCGGCCTAAAAAGCAACAGTTATGCGGTAACTAATAATTAAAATATTAATTGATGCGGCGACTAGACCTTAGATGCTATCAAAACGAAAACAAAACAAGTTGAAAACGTATAGAGGAAACTGAGAAGGATAATATGCTTCAGATTTTTCACAGCGACATTTGCATGGGTGGCAGCCAGGTGTAGAAGAGAATATAAGCTGCGCTGGAGACAACATTGGAGGTGTCCAAAGCGGAAACAATTTGATCGTCGAATTTGAACCACCTGCCGTAGTTTGCACTCTTACAGAAGGCCGTGTAGTGCCCTCCTTCCATAGTGCCGTAGTGGTTGGAAACGGCATAAAGTTGGTAAGTTTTTGGAGTAACGGCTCGAGATTCAGCCCGAGCGATATACGGGGTCATTTCCAGATTATCCAATGGAAAACGCAGATAATTTTGTTTCTTTATGTAGGCGCCTGTGTTGCTTGGATCCGCATAAAATCTGTTTCAATAATTCAAATATATATAATAGTAAATTTTGAGATTTACATTTACTATAATTACTCACCGCTTCAGATGGACTACCAGTACTGGAGGCAGCTTGGATATATCTAGCTTTTTAATTGCATCTCTCTTGGTGTTGCAGTTCGGACAATTCCAGCCTTGGATGCGCTCCCCACTAAAGTACATGTCCATGCACTGGTTTAAGTGACACACATTTGAGTTGGGCGGCAGCTCCAGGCTGAGATTCGAGAAGCACTCGTAAGTGGCAGATTCCCTATTGCAGGCCACGCACTTGACGGTGCTCTTGATCTGACCGTAGAATAAATGCAGGATCATACTTTCCTTGGCCTTTGTAAACTCCAGCCAAGCCTTTTCCGAAGCACTGATTGTCTCCCTTTGGCGGGCCACATGCAGCGTTTGTAGGTCCGAGTGCAGCCAATCCATCAGTATGGTAAGAAACTCGTGGGAGTCTTGCTGGTCAACGCCACGGAAGATCTTTTGGTACTGACCCACTACATACTGCAATCGAATAAAAAGTTAAATGAAAAACTTCATTTTTTTTAACACTATCAACTTACCCTTAAATCCCGGCTAGCCACGCACTTATACTGACCGTTCCACAGTTCTTTTATAAGTGCGGCCACCTCCTCGATGACTTGTCCATTTGTTCTATTGCTCCGGTTGATGTAGCTCTTGTACTTATCCGAAATGCAATACTCGGTTAGCTGCGGCGTATTACTCAGGCACTGTAAAATGCTGTTCATGTAACAAGTATTGCCCAGATTTTTAAGACCAGTTAAGCCACGACCCTGAAATCACACAAAAAGGAAAAGGAAATTAACATGGGTGAAGACCATCTGATGCAAGGAGTTACTCGACGCAAGGGGAAGATAGAGCTATAAATGCTGTATGTGGGCGGAGCTGCTGGCAGCTGAAACTTGACGCCTGCCACGCAAATCATTCGCGGAATCCTGTTTGCTTCCTCTTGTGAAACGTTTGGCAATTGAACGCGGCTTAGCTTTTTTTTCAAGCATTCTTTGAGTACGGACAGCGAGCGACTGAGCAAGGGGCCGGCCACTGAATGTCTGGGCTGTTGTCTTCAAAACGTGACCCCACGTTTATTGATTAGACTCGTGTGGCAGCTATTTTTATGTGACCGGGGTGATTCAGCTACCCATTTTCTTCGACCATCCATCACTTACCACATTCTGACCCTTGACGGGTGAGAAATCACGGACCCGAGCTGGTGAAGACGACGATTTATTCCGTTGCGGCTTCATTGCCCGATCAAATGTGGGTCTTTCAACAGGATCCAATGGGGGTATTTCATCTTCGGACAGCTTAAGCAGAGAATCTAGGCTCTCGGAAAGGGCGTGTACTGGTAAAGAACTTGGCGGCGGCGGTGACTTATAATGTTTTTTTGCTTCCCGGGCAATTGCAAGCTGCCGCTCTCTCTCCTGGCGCTCTAGTTCGTGCTGCTCGTCAACCATTTGACGTTCCTGAATTTTAGTCTCCACGTTACGGGTGGCCTCCACATCCTTAGAAGATATCCTTTGTGGTGTCTCAGTTTTTAACTGTTCCTTATAGCGGGTGACTTCGTCACGTAATCGATTGTTTTCCAGAATCTGCAGAAAATAAGTTATTGATGCATTTTATATAAGAATAATACTTACAAAGTCCTGCTGTCGGCTCTCCAACTGCAAAATGCGGTAGTGCAGTTCCTGGTTATCGGCAGCATCTCCCTCAGCGGTTCGGCGCTTCCATAGCTCGAAGGCGTTTTCCAACTGAGCATCATTTTGCTCAGCTCGTTGAAGAAACTCCTCTTGATCTCGCATAATCTCAGCTATTGGTTTGGCCTGGGACACAAGTTTCGCCTGGCCCTGTTCATAGGTCTTCAGGGCTGCTGGTTTGCTGGCCCGATTGATGTCTGGTCTCGTTTTAAAATCCCGCGCACTGATGTCCTCCTTCATAGTGATGTCATAGATCGAAGGATACTCGATGTCGTCAATGGTTTCAATGTCGTTGTTGTTCTGCTTCGGGGCCTGCACGCTGGGATTGGTACAATGAGTGGGGTACATCATTATGAAATACTCGTAGCCGCCATCAACAATTTGAATTGGAGCGCGATAAGTAACGTCAGGATCCCACTGGATATATTACGTTTTTATTGATTAAGTTTCTTTAATGTTTTGAATAGTTACATACATTTTTCAGGATATCCAGAAGCGTGGCAATTGCTGTATTCGCAGCCGGCTGGGCATCTTTTGTGTTCCAGTCCATAAGCACCACCGAATCTTTGACAGATCGCGAAGCCCACGATGCTTTAGCGCTGCTACTGAGTCGCGCCTGTAGTCTACCCGCCGACATTCTGAAGAATACATTTTTTTAGAATGGAAGTATCTTAGTTACTTTGTGGGAATATTTCGCTTACGTACCCTGACACTATTACTTCTTCGGGTACATTGAACGCGCAGTAGTACGTTAGGTGCGAGATATCGTAGTCAGAACTAGAACGGCAGTCCATGACCAGAACCGTTTTTTCTTGCATGCGCCGGTACAGCTCCTGGCAGCTAATTAGCCCCAAACGGGAAAAGTCTTCTGGCTGTGAAGAAACGGTCGTAGTGGATGATTCAACCACTGTTCGACCATTGACAAAATCGGTGATTGGTTCAAGCGTCGAAGGTTTGCATAGCAGTGCGTAGCGGTGCGCCAAGGAGTTGGCAATTATCTCCAACGAGTCCATTATACGACGATTCGCGTCGGTGTCGCCCAACATTTGGCGCACCGTTGACTTGTGGTTGGCATAGTCGGACTTTTTGCGAATGGCGGACAACATGTTGAAGTACTTCATATAGGTAATGTAGGCCAGTTCCTCATCGCCTTCTAACCGGTACTCCTCTGCAGTGACGTACAGTTTTCTAGCGGTGTTGAGTAGCCTAAAAATATATTTGAAAAAAAGTCAAATCACACGAATCAGCAAAATTTTTTTTCTAGTTTCAGTTTACATTTTCATGTTCTTGTCGCGCAGATCGGGAATGCTAGTCATCTTCTCCAGGCTCTCGAGATTAGAGCTCATGTACAACTTTTTCAACTGGGCCATGTTTTCGGATGGGTCTTTGACTGCCGCACGCTTCCAAAGGGTTACGGTGTTAACTTGAGCTGGAAGCAATTTTAATAGTCAAATTTTCTTTTCTCATAGCAGAATTTGTCAATCTGTGGCAACAACGACCGAAACACTTTTGCGACGATTTCCAGCCTTGGATTTTGTACGTTTTACAGCACTGTTAAAACTATTTTAACGATAGCGATATCGAGTGACAGCGATATATTGTGAATGAAATTTATTTCACTGTTAATTTGTTTTGTCAAAAATAATTTTTTCTGATGGGAAAAACTTCAAAGGATAAGCGTGACATATTCTACCGTCTCGCCAAGGAGCAAGGCTGGAGGGCGAGAAGCGCGTTTAAATTGCTCCAGGCGGAGGAGACGTTCCACCTGTTGGATGGTGCTCCAGAAACCTCGTGTTTTTATTCAAAATACTCATTTTCAACAAATTGCAGGACTTTATCGCGCAGTGGATCTCTGTGCCGCCCCGGGAAGCTGGTCTCAGGTGCTGGCTAAGCACATGTATGAGCCACTTTCGCCAGAAGACAAGAAAAAGGTCAAGATCATCGCTGTTGATATGCAGGGAATGGCGCCCATCGAAGGTGTTACACAAATGCGCGAGGATATCAGCAAGGAGTCCACTGCGGAAGCTATTATAAATTTTTTTGAAGGCGAAAAAGCTCAAATCGTAGTTTGCGATGGAGCTCCCGATTCCACAGGCATGCATGACTTTGATTGTTACGTTCAAATGGAACTGGTAATCACCGCCATAAGCATCGCCACCTACATTTTGGAGGAAGGTGGCTCGTTTGTGTCGAAGATATACCGCTGTGACAAAACTAGCAGGGTCTACACTCAAATGAAGCGCTTTTTCAAGGATGTGTGCGTTTTTAAGCCCTCCGCCTCAAGGAATTCCAGCATAGAAGCGTTTGTGATTGGTCGACAGTTCTGCCTGCCAGAAGGGCACGAACTGTGCAACTTAACCCTCGAATGGCAAAAAGATCCATCTACATGGATTGAGGAATTTACAGGGTATCCTCCCGCTGTTCACGTTCCATTTTTCGCTCACAAGGGTGAATGGGATTCAGACCGCACATACGACTTGGTATGTTTTTGCATCTGCAAATGGCCATAATAATGTATTTATTTTGAATTCCAGGATGAAGATTACGTCTACCATGAGGCTGTGCAGGAACCACTGACGGCTGCCTACCAAGAGGTTAAAAAGAAAACTGCTGAAATAAATATAAAGTACGAGCCCATTGTTGAAATACACGATGAGCCTCTACTTAAGGATTGGGTAGAAAACGTTTTAAATCTCAAGTACGAGCCTCCTAAATCGATTCAAAAAAATATCAAAAGTAAGACAAAAACAAACCAAAAAAATAACAAATCAGAGGCAGGGTGTTCTGGTTCCCCAAAAGCTAAAGACTTGAGTGGGGAAGAGTTTGATTCCGATTCTAAGGATTTAGAAGATTTAGATCAATCTTCAACAAGCCAGGGAAAAGATGATGATAAAAGATGTGTACATGAAAACTCTAAACAAATAATAGACTTTTCTGAACTACCGTTTCAAGAAACAATAGAACAAGAAGCTTCCACAAGTAAAAGAAATACTGCGTCAGAAAATAACGATCAGGGTGCTCTACATTATGAGGCGGCTAATGAAGAAACTGGCGACCAAACAGCTAAAATTGGAGACTTAGAAAAAAGTGTTAATTGTAATTTAGAAAATAAAATCTCTTGATGTGAACATTAACCGAAAGATACTACATTAAAATCCATTTGTTGTGACTTCCATTAACAAGTTATGTACAAATCCATTTATTTTGCCTATAAATGCTGCATACCAAGCTTTTCAGAAGGCTTTACACCGTATTTATAAACTTTGTTGAGGCTTTCAGGAAAATCGGGCAAAAGATTATTAAAGTTTTCCACGTGATGTGTATGTTGCTCTGTCCAGATGCCATCGCCGGTGAAATGAAACTCTGATTCGATAAGGTACAAAATGAGAGTAAGAGTCTCGTTATTGCTCAATGCATGGATGCCTGTTAAAGGCAATTGGAGTTCCTCTAGCGCATCGGGTAATTGCAAGAGCTGAAGTTTTTCCTCGATGCGTTTTCTATTAAATGAACCATTCTTATTGGTGCTCAAACAACATTTTTTTTTGATAGTTTTCATACTCACATGGGATAAAGAAGTAAGTGTATGTTGGTAAAGATCTCCTCCCTCCTAAACTTTTTACTTCGTAAATATTCCAAACACTGCTTTACATGAAGCACAGGTATGTGACACCAATTCGGGTGACGGGAGAGGAGATTTCGCAAAACCTGCTCATCCTTGGACAAAACGTTGCTCAAGTAGACAACGATATCACGACCCTTGGTACGATCAGATCCATCTCGAGCAAATCTAAAAAAGTAGTGTTTTAAATAATTTTAAATTTATCTCACAAAGTTTCTTCAGTACTTGGCAAACGCCTCGGAGCCGCAGGATAGGATGTGTAAGGAAGCACAGCGCACTTTCAGCTGATTAAGATAATCCAAACGTAGACGAGCCTTGTTTTGGTAGTGAACTAATCGCAACACTCGTGGATTGGTGCCGAGTACCTGAAACTCCTCGATTTGCTGTAGATCTCGCAAACGTTCCAATACCGTGTCTGGGCCTAAGGTTAAAATTTCCAAGCAACGCAAAACAGCATCCTCGCTGATCCCAAACGCATGCACGTGCTGCAGAGTCTGCTTCAAGCTATCACAGGTGGACATCAGAATTTTGGGTCGACGGAAGCCAATTTCCCGGATATCCTGCGAATCAATGGTAGGTATTTCTCGCAGTATTCGCCGCACATTATCAGCATCTGCGTGAAGCAAAAAACTGTTTTTTTTTAAGCGCTCTACAGAAAATTTCAAGTCAGTTGTAAGCAACTTCACAGTGTCTTGCAAGGAGCAAAAGCTCTTGTGACGGACGCGGGAATAGACCCGCCACAGCTTAAGGAGATCTGCATCGTCCATCTGGAGCCTTTTCCGTAGATAGGTGTTTAAAAGGGATTGTCTGAGGCTTTTTAGGGTTAGACTCTCATTGTTCAAATCCTGGTCATTTACTGGTAGACTTATATCCGTAAAGGAGTCTGCCAAAAGCTTCGCCACCTCGACATTGTAGGGTATAAAACCGTGGGCCTTAAGGATGTCTATGGGTTTGTTAACCACTGTCACGTACTTAGCCAGCGTCTGGATGGTTACATTTTGAAAGCCGCACTCCACCAGAACACTATGCCGATTGGACAACGTAGAGGCTCCATAGTAAATAATCATGGGTTTGGTTATGATGTCTTCGGCATTATACTTTAATGATTTAAGCGTATCATAGGAGTTTAGTAAATCCTTGCGTTTTAAGGATTTTAATTCTGGGTGTTTTTCCAAGGCAGCGGCCCAAGCGCGGTAGTTGCTGCCTAGTTACGAATGTGCTATAAGTATGCATATTTTGTTTAATAATATTTGAAAATACCTCACCTATAGTTTTGGTCAAATAGCTAGCATTTAGTGGTTCTTCCGTTGGTATTTCCACGGGAGAGTGCTTAGGCAGTTTTGGTTTTGAAGTTTCCTTACCGGTGGTCTTTTTTGACGAGGCCAATCCTCGCACGAATTGGCCCAAGTTACGAGCCAATAGTTGTGCTTGATTTTGGCCGTTGCGCAGCATAGTTAGAGCATTTCAAAATATTCTTATTTACATGCGACCAAGAATCTTTAATGATATGGGCATATGTATGTAACTGATAGTGAGAGAAATGGCAACTGTTGCTAGCAATCGGTGATGCCCATTTGGGTCAATAAACCACCAATTAAAAATGTAAACATTTTTTTTATACTTAGGGCAGGATTAAATGTAATCTATTTTAAATTGTTTTAAAATTATAGTTTTTTGAATTAAAGTAATAACCCAGAAAAATGTATTGAAAAAATGGCAGCACCTACATATGTATATCAGCTGTTACCAGTGGCATGCCACTTCGACTTTTAAACATATATTGATAAAGTTGGCAGCACTGAGCGTCTTCTACACGTGCATTATTCCTAATAATTGGTTACTTTATTTTTTCTGAATTACCTAAATAAGAAGGCACCAAAAATGTCACTTTTGCGTATTAGGTAATAGAAACCCCTTTATTTCCCTAAAGTCGTTTAATAAAACTTAATTTTATTTCAGGAAACCAAAGACCCGAAAGGGGAAAAAGGTTCTCCTAGCAAGGGAACCGCAGTTGATTGAATCCGCCCGCACAATGCTGTTTTTAGACGGTAGAAAGTGTGGAGGTAATGTGAAACTGTGCATGAAAGATCTGCAGTCGTTAAAAAAACCACTGGTTAAGGTCCTGAATAGGAAGAACGATATAACTCCCTTTGACGATCCATCTTCTTTGGAATTGTAAGTCCTTTGTGTTTTAAATTGTTCAATTAAATTTAAAAATAATTAAATTTTTAACCTAGCTTAACAATGAAAAATGATGCCGCACTGTTTTCATTTGGTTCCACTTCCAAGAAGCGACCAGATAACATCATATTGGGCCGCATCTTTGAGAACGAAGTACTGGACATGTTCGAGTTGGGGATCAAGAGGTATCAGGCAATCTCCGAGTTTAAAAACGAGAAGATTGGAACTTGTGTGAAGCCATGTCTGGTGTTTAATGGTCCGAAATGGGCACAAACCGAGGAGCTGCGGCGCCTTCGCAACCTTTTCATCGATGCATTCCAAAGGGAGAAGGTTGACTCAATTCGTCTTCAGGGCATTGAGCACGTCATCAGTTTTACTGTCACCGACGATATGAACATCCTCATGCGTTCATATAAGATATTGTTAAAGAAGTCCGGTCAAAAGACGCCACGCATAGAGCTAGAAGAGATTGGACCTTCAGCTGATTTTGCTATTCGTCGCACCAAAATTGCTAGCGAAGATCTGTATAAGCAGGCCCGCAAACAGCCGAAGCAACTTAAGGTCGTTAAAAAGAAGAACATCAGCACCGATGCCCTGGGCAACAAGAAGGGCCGTGTCCATCTGGGCAAGCAACAAACTGGATCGATACAGACTCGTCGCGTGAAGGCTCTCCGGAAAACACCCGAGGAGAAGAAAGAAAACCGTCAACGCAAGAAAGTTGCTCTCAAAGCAGCCGCTGCCGAAGCCATTGCGTCATCGCAATGAAACTGTTCACCTTTAGTTACATTTAGATTTAATAAATTGGTCCAAATTAAAGTAGCGTTAATATCTATGCGAGTTCTGGATTAATGTATGCCATCTACTATGTTTCTGATACGCCGTGTCTTTGACTCTGCAAGTGCGTCCTCCAGAGTTTTGATCATGTACAAGAGACTGCTCACATCGGTTTGCACCAACATATCCTTGCGGTGTCGCCGCTCATCTTCGTGCATGGCAGCAAGCTCCTGTTCACTTCGTCCAGTGGCGTCCACCTCAAGAAGCTCCCGGTTCTCGTTTTTTGGTTCGGTATGAAGATAAAGCTTCATTGTCACTGTGACATTACACTGGTCCAGCAGGCTCCGGGATGCTGTCCGCACTTCGAGTCGCCAGTCAAGGTTGACTAGCCTATAGGCACGAATGTTGGCAGACTTAATTGAGCCCTCCACAAAATTACGCTTGCTGGTCACGAACTGCTCAAGAACATCCACCACTTCATCGTCGATATCGGCGAACGTTTGTCGCAGAATAGCCTGAATATTGACGGAACTGCTACTGACGCAAGTGGTGACGCTGATAAGAAGGGATATTAAAGCCTCTACCGCATGCTGCACAACCTCCGGATCCCCCGTGTTAGAGAACTTTTTTGCCAGTGCTTTATATCGGTTCAGATTAGGGCCATTTATCAGATAATCAAAGGCGGACTTACAGAGCTCAACGACATCACTAGCAGGCCTCTGAAGCAGGACCAGGTGATTCCGTTGCTGTTGGCTTAGCCGCAGAGACGTCATTTTAGACACTTTTTTTTAGCAAATCCGTTGAAAGGTTTAGTTGAAAGAAACTGAAATGTACAATAGTAACGATGATCAAATAGCACACATTAAGTAAATTAACTAAGCTAACCTTCCACTGAGAACGATGAGTTTTGAGGTTCTTCAGGGTTTAGGAAAAAGATAATATCTTTTTTTCCGAAAAACGTAAACATCATTTGGGGAAAACAAAAATGTAAATATCTGCGGCTACAAAGCGAGAGAGTGATGGTTAACGTCCTAAAGAACAGTGCTGGGCAGCAACAAATTAGTTCACCATAATTCGTAACGGAAAATAATTTGTTTTTAAATTCTTTTAAAAGATTCCGTTTTTTGTTTGCTTTACTCTTATACTTAAGGGGTTACGCCACCCTGACCGCGTGGAAACGGGACGGTTTTTCAGGAATTTCTTGTGACTAAACTAGTTGAGATAGGATTTTTCCACTTTTATTTCTATTCAATACAACTAATGAGCTTTATAAATGCTAAAAAAAAACTTTTTTTCTATGCAAAATGGCGGAGATATGAACATCGGCGATCATCGGTTTTTCCGGAGTGCTCCTTGATGGTGGGCATGATTCACGTGTCAATTTTCATCTCAATCAAGTAAACAAATTTTTTTTAAAAAGTGATAAATTTGGAACAGAGTGACGTAGCCGTTTAAGAAAAAAAAAAAAAATTACGCAAATGAGAGCACTTCAAATATTGACTCAGTTTTTTAGTTATCATGCCCACCGTCTTGAAAAAAGTGGTTTCGAGAAAAACGCAAAAGAAGAACAGAAGTGTCTTAGGTGCCCTCCTGCCGTGCCGATTTAAAATAAACATAACTTCCATAATTATCAAGATATTGTCTTCGGGGACGTCTTAAAATACGCGTAAGAATATAGTCTTTTAAATTAAGTAAAGAAAAAAATTGAAATTTTTTGAAAATTTCAGGGTGGCGTAACCCCTTAAAAATTTATAATAGGTAATAAAAGGTATATCTTAACTTATACTATTAAACAATTATTTAGCTCACTATTATTAGACTCAGCTTTTTTGGTGCCTCAATAATAAAAAAAAATTTTTAAAACCAAATACCCCTTAATAGCCAGCAAACGATGTAGGTAACACACTATCTTTTTTCTTAAAAAAAAAAAGCTCAGAAAGCTCTTTTTGATCGCTTTGAACCAAGTTGGCACACCCGCGATGCGTGGGTCGCACAACAACAAAATACACACCGGAGATTCGCAAAGCAAATCGCCTCATTGGTCGTTGGGATTTAGTTGGCAGTGTTACTTTAATTGTTTAACCAATTTTTGTACAAAACAAATTTGCAAATATGCTGAAGCAAGTGACGAAACAATTGGCCCTGCAGGGAGTGCGCAACTTCTCCGTCAGCCAGCAGGTGAGAATGGAAACTAGCAAATCCCGTCTAGGAATTAGCTCCGCCACTGAAAATGTTTACGTAACATGCGAAATTGCATCTCACAATATGAAGCAAATGGAAAATGCAACCAGCTGGCTTGTTACAGCATTAAATACTAATTCCAGGATTTATCTTTTAATTTTCCGGCAGAACAACTACAAGGTCACCGTTTGCGGTGCCTCCGGAGGTATTGGCCAGCCCCTGTCGCTGCTGCTCAAGCAGAATCCCCTGGTCACCGACCTGGCTCTGTACGATATTGTGCATACGCCCGGTGTGGCCGCCGATCTGTCCCACATCGACACCAAGAGCAAGACCGCCGGATTTATTGGAGCCGACCAGCTGGGCGATTCTCTGAAGGGTGAGTAAAGGGCAGCATGTGAGGTTAGGTTAAGCAAAGGTGGAAAATTTACAAAATAGCTCCAGAATGTGGGGATGATTTATCCAATCGGATAAAGCTTATACACTTTAGAAGGTTACATCGGCGATTTCTATATTTAAATATTCAATACATTTACATAAAATACATTAAGTTTAATGATAAGAAATATATAAGTAAGGCTAAAATCATGACAGATAATACGATTTATGGGGCAACAAAATATTTAAATTTGATTTTTTCTTGAGTTTTGCATATTTATGAATTTTATATGTTTTTAATAAGCTGAAACTTACCTCTAGTCAAAAAAAAATCTCAATTTATCTTTTATTTAAGTATTGGGTAAAAGTCCCTGTAAAATAAAAACTTTCATGTTATTTGCATTAAGCACATTTTATGCTCTGATAAGATTGCTCAAGAGACCATAGGCTCTGATAAAGACAGCCACTTTGAGACCGTAGAAAGGTTATTGGTATTTTTAACGACGTTATCAAAAGCACTGACTTATCAGCAGTAGCTAATAGCCACGGAGATTGAAAAATAAAAGACCAAAGCTCAAAGTGATTAATTATATTTGCAACGTTTGCAGGCTCCGATGTGGTCGTCATCCCTGCTGGTGTACCCCGCAAGCCCGGCATGACCCGCGATGACCTGTTCAATGTTAACGCCGGTATCATCAAGGACATCTCCAACTCCATTGCCAAGAACTGCCCCAAGGCCCTAGTGGCTATCATCACCAACCCGGTGAACACTTGCGTGCCCATTGCTGCCGAGATCCTCAAGAAGGTTATTCAAAAGTAATCGGAAAGAAGATGGTGATTCTAATTTTATCAAATTGCAGGCTGGTGTCTACGATCCTAAGCGTCTTTTCGGTGTCTCCACCTTGGATGTAGTGCGCGCCCGCGCCTTCATCGGCCATGCCTTGGGCGTGGATCCCCAGACTGTTCAGATCCCCGTTATCGGAGGACACTCCGGTGTCACCATTCTGCCTGTCCTGTCCCAAAGCCAGCCTCAGTTCAAGGGTAACCAGGATGCGATCGAGAAGCTGACAGTGCGTATCCAGGAAGCCGGTACCGAGGTTGTGAAGGCCAAAGCCGGAGCTGGCTCCGCCACGCTTTCAATGGCTTACGCTGGAGCCCGTTTCGCCGGTTCCCTGCTGAAGGGTCTTAACGGCGAGAAGAACGTAATCGAGTGCTCTTACGTTCAGTCAACCATTACTGAAGCTACCTTCTTTTCCACACCTTTGGTCCTTGGAAAGAACGGTCTGCAAGAGAACCTGGGTCTGCCTAAGCTCAACGATTATGAGAAGAAGCTGCTTGAGGCTGCCATCCCTGAGCTGAAGAAGAACATCCAAAAGGGCATTGACTTTGCAAATGCCTAAGCGCGATTGATTTAAAAATATGCTCACCCACCCATCCATAGACAAATTGCTTAAATCAATGTACTTCACTAGCGTCTTTTGTCCAATTGGCACTATTTCCTTAGAAAATCTTTCTTGGTATGTCCTAAGATAAAAGAGATCTATGCTCTGCGTGAAAATAATGCAAAGTTGATATATGATATATATGAAAGATATATGTATGAAACAATAAATTAAAAACTTGGAGATTTAATGGTTTTTTATTAAGTTCAGACAATATTATTTTTTTTACCGAAATGCGTCCTATTTCGAATTTTTATATGGGCATTTCTACAAAAAGGTCAGCTAAAAATGTAAAAAATTTTTAATATTGCCAAATTTATGGATGTATTTTTAAAAAGAAATGACCGAAACTTTTACAATACTTACCAGGGTTTTTCAATGGCAATATAGACCTTTGGAATGTCAAATAAAAAAAAAAACATTTTTACAGGCAGTTCTATATTTAATTATTTTGCATAGACAACATATGATAAGTTTTCAGTCGTTATACTAAGTTGTCCATTATTTGTCTAAAAAGACGGGAAAAATCAGTTAACAGATAATTAACAAATAAGACTATGAAAATCTGGAACGGGTCGCGTAATACCGCTACAAACCAGCTCTCAAAATAAAACAAGAAAGGATGGCTATAGACGAGTTTCTCGACTATAATATACCCGGTACTCTTCTCTTCCACCAACAATTTAACTTAACTTCATAGTTTAAACTTTAAACTCTAGCTGGATGTATTTATTCCAAACAACAAATTTTTGTTGCATACATTTGCGTTTTGGGCGAAACAACAACTACAAACCTGCGGCCATACTATCGATTCAGTAGGAAAGCACACTAAATAGTCTATATCTCCTCTAAAAATTATTTGGCTGCTGAACTGCCGCTAATACCAGATTTCTGTTTGGGGGGCGGGAGTAATAATTGTCATAATTTTGACAAGTTCCCAAGTTCCAAATCTGATAGTTTTATCTTTTATAGTCTTCGATTCACGCGTTCAAAATTTTGGACCGTTTGTATGGGCAAAGGTATATACATACATAAATATAATGCAAATATAACCCATAAATATAAATATATGGGTCTCCTATAAAAAGGAAATATAATGTCTTTAATACTTTATGGGATCGGAGATAATTCCTTCTCTAGATTACATACATGAACACGACTACAATATACCCTTGTACTCTACCCTTGTAATATTCCTACACGGCATAAAGATATTCTTTGTAAAGTTTTTTTCTTGCAAGTGCCGAATTGAACGTATTGTCGGTTTCGGATGATAGCAATCGACGCGTATTTAATATTCCCTAGTCCTGATGTAGTGAATCAAAATCTCCTTAATTTTACCCAGATTCCCAAACCAAACGACTTTTGACTTCTAATAATTTTCATTTGGTATATCACTCATGTAAATCTAACGTATTACAATTTGTAATTCGTCGGATATATGAAGTGATATATATGGAAAATATATTGAAAATCTTCAAATATTTAATTTATTAATGATACATAATTTCCTATATAAGTGATAAGAAAATTTCTTATTTACATGATAAGAAAATATTTTCATTGATTTATATAATTGATTCAAATTTTGAATTGATTTATAAACTTCTTATGTGCCTTAAATATTTTGCTTTTTCTTACATTTACTTACAAATGTTATTGGTGTTAAAAAAAAAGAATATTCAAAATATACTTACACTGGGAGTAACGATTTTATTCTCGTTAATGCTGTTACGCTATAGATGAAATTAGTTTGGAAAACATTTCTGAAAGTGTTGAAAACTCTCTTCCACTATTCTCTCGCAGATATACACTATGCTAACACGTACACACCCATACTGATGCAATCAATTAAGCTTCGTTAAGATCAATTTAAACCTGCCCGCATGTCATGCCCGGTCTCCCTTTTCCTCGTCCCTGGTCAATCCCATGACTCTGTCTCACCAGCCTCCATTTCGCGTACGCATTTGGAATTTCTGGTGGGACTTGTCTATATAAGAAAATATATGTGTGAGACAAATATTTTTTCACATATTCGTTTAT